GCGCAGTCCCTGCCATAGACACGGTGCAGGGAGGAACTTCAGGGACCAGCGGCCCCAACACCTCCATGTTAGTCAGTGTAACTCCATTTCTTTGCGTGTCTGTAGGTCCATGTAGGTCCATCTTAGTCCATGCGTTTGCTTTATTGACCTGCTGGGTTGCTCTTTGTGCTTTCCGAGTCCCTGACCCACTGATCACCATCCTTAAGGACCTTCATGATGGTGAGCGGCCCAGCGTCTAACTACGTGGCCGTGAGTCAGAGCCATTCCCTTTACACCTTGGGGTGCAACAGGGATGTCCTCTGGCTCCCACATTATTTTACATATGTTTGGACCACGTAGTTCGTCAAGCCTTCAATGCCTGTACCGGAAGAATTCCCATCTGCTACAGATACAATGGGAGGCTGATCGATGCCCGGGTGCGGTCAAGGGATGGCTCCCTATTGCTCAACCACGTTATGTATGCCGATGATCTGCTAATTGCTGCTCACTCGGAGGAGGAGTTTGATGTGCTGCTGCTGAATCTGGAGCTTGCCACCAAGAGGTGGGGCCTTACCATCAGCCCCACCAAAACGAAGCACCTGCCTGGGTATTTTATACCGTCGAACAATCCACCCCCACAACTCACAATTGGTGATGCGGCAGTTATGGAGAGATTGCCGACATTCTCATACCTGGCCAGTGTACTCATGACCGGCTCCGGTTTAACAGCAGAGGGAGGTCTCACTCCAAATCAGTCGAGCGCTATTATCTTTTCATCGGCTGCGTTACGCCGTGTGGAAGCTACCTGGTCTCTCGCTCCGCATGAAACTCCAGGTCTTCTCGGCCACGGTCATTCCCTCCCTTCTCTACGCTTGCGCCCCCCTAATGGAACATCTTCGCCGGTTAGAAACATTTAGAATGGCCTGCCTACGATCCTTCCTGGATTTAACCAGGCTGTATTGTGTGAATCTCTCGAGAAACGGTGCCTTAATGCGGCGAGAGAGTTTGTGTACGTCTGAGAAGCTGATCGCTATACCGTCGAGAGCCTAGTGCTCTCAGAAGGGTCACCCAAGGCGGGAAGACTTCAGTGGAGACGTCAGACAAAACCCATGACCTTTTCAAATAAATTGTGATCCAAGAAAGCAACGGGAAACTACTTGGATTATTTCTCCCTTGAAAACTTCAATGATGACAAGCAAAATCAACAAAGGCCCTGAGTATCGGTGTCCTTTAAATAGGACAGGGGTGCTAAGAATCTCCAAGCTTGTGTCAAAGAACCCTTTCAAAGTAGTAACTTGGAACGTTAGAAGTTTACTTCAAGCAGGAAAACTAGCCAATGTCATACAAGAAATGGATCGACTTAAAATCAACATAATCGGTCTAAGCGAAACTAAATGGCCTGGAACAAAAAGGTTTATATCGAGCGAACACCACATCTTCTGCTCCGGAGGAGAAGAAAACACCAAACAAACATACGGTGTCGCCTTTATAGTACACAAGAAATTAGCGAATAAAGTCAACAACTTTACCCCATTATCAGAACGAATAACACTACTACAATTAGTAGGCAACAAAGTCAACGTGAACATTCTACAGGTTTATGATCCAACAGCAGATAAACAAGATCATGAAATCGAATCGTTCTATGAGCAACTAACCAACACGCTGAAGCCGCTGAAGAAGCAAGACATCACTATAATCCTCGGCGACTTCAACGCCAAGGTTGGCCATGGTCGAATGCAGAACATTGTCGGAGAACACGGACTAGGAACAAGGACTGAACGAGGCGACAGACTGGTTCAATTCTGCCAAGAAGAACGTGTCAGTATTGCTAACACGTGGTTCCAATTACCACCTCGACGACTGTACACGTGGACCTCGCCGCAAGACTCCGACAACAACATCGTCAGGAACCAAATCGATTATATCCTAATTAACATCAGGTTTAAGTCTAGTGTGATTACAGCAAAAACCTACCCTGGAGCCGATATATCGTCAGATCATAACCCAGTAACAGCTACAATAAGACTCAAATTGCGATCAATACAATGTACAAAGACAAGACGAGCAGACCTGGAGAAACTGAAGAACAGCGCCGATAAAAAACAAGTACAGCAACATCTCAACGATAGCATCCGCTCAATAACAACAGAAACAGCAGATGTTCAGGAGTACTGGCGCTCGTTCAAACAATGCATCACAGAAACAACAGAAGTCATGCTGGGACATCAGCCACCGAAAAAGAAACAACGATGGATGACACATATTCTTAGGTTTTTTCGGTAAAGTCATGTAGGTAAAAACATCAAAATTAATAAAACATATTTTTTTATTAATTTTGATGTTTTTACCTACGTGACTTTACCGAAAAAACCTAAGAAGATGGATGACACATTGTATTCTCGATCTAATGAGCAAACGAAGAATGTACAAAAATAACAACTTGGAGAAGTACAAACAAATGCAACAGAAGATCAGAGAAGCAATCCGACAGGCAAAAGAAAAGTGGATGGAAGAACAATGCACCGAGATTGAAGAACTAATTAAAAAACATGACAATTTTACTCTGCACAAGAAGCTCAAAGAAGCTGGTAACATCTACAAACCAGCCCCAACAGCTACCTTGTATGCGGACAACAACCAACCAATCCTAAATAAACAAGAAAAAATGGACACCTGGACAAACTATATACACAAGCTCTATGGCGCCGCGAGAACACCTGCAGAAAAAGACCAACAGATGTCGAAAGACGCTCTACACATTTTAACATCAGAAGTAGAACATGCAATCAAAACAACTAAGTCAGGCAAAGCGTGCGGGCCCGACACAATCCATGTAGAATTGCTCAAGCTATTAGACAGTAACAACATACGACAACTGACTAATTGGTACAATCAAATATACAATGGCAATAAAATTCCATCCGACTGGCTACAATCCATCTTTGTGGCCATACCAAAGAAAGCAACAAGCCGGAAAGGCGAGGACTACAGGCTGATAAGCTTGATGAGCCACGTGCTGAAAGTCTTCCTGAAGGTGATCCAACAGCGCATACGCTCCACATGCGAAAATGCATTGAAGAACACACAGTTTGGCTTCTGCAAAGGACTAGGCACAAGAGAAGCAATCTTCTGTCTACAGATACTACTACAGCGATGCTACGAACATCAGAAAGAAGTGTACATCTGCTTCATAGATTACGAGAAAGCCTTTGACTCAGTCGACCACGACCGACTAGCAGCTCTATTAAAACAACTGGGACTAGATGAAAACGACATCAACTTCATCATTGCTCTTTATTGGAAGCAAACAGCCCTACTCCGATATGACAACGAATTGACAGACCCAACACCAATACAAAAAGGTGTACGACAAGGCTGCCCACTGTCACCGAGTCTTTTCAACATCTACTCGGAGCAGATTTTTGATCGAACACTAGCAGATAAAAACATTGGTATTAAAGTCAATGGACAATACATCAACAACATCAGGTATGCCGACGACACTGCACTGCTGGCCGATTCAGAACAAGACCTACAACAAATCTTGGATGAGGTTGCCACAGAGAGTCAAATATGGGGCTTACGAATTAATAAAAAGAAAACAAAGGTTATGAAGGTCAGCCGAACTACAAGCGAAATAACAATCAAGCTTGGCAGCGAAAAATTGGAACAAGTACACCGATTTAAATACCTTGGTGTAATCATTGACGATCAGTTGAACCATGAAGTCGAAATCAAGAGCAGAATTGAACAAGCAAGGCAAGCATTTATTAAATGGAAAACACTCCTTGCAGACCGCAACTTGAGTACATCACTGAAACTGCGCACACTGAAATGCTACATCTGGTCAATTTTGCTGTACGAAGTAGAGACGTGGACACTGACAACAACAGCAACAAAAAGGCTCGAAGCTTTCAAGATGTGGCTGTATCGAAGAATGCTGAAAATCCCATGGACAGCCAAAACCACCAATACACAAGTTCTGCAAGATGTGGGCACTGACAGGCAACTGCTGAAGACCATCATTAGCAGGAAGTGTTACTACCTAGGCCACATTGCCCGAAACGACCACAAATACCAGCTATTAAAGCAAATCCTGGAAGGAAAAATCGAAGGGAAAAAACGACCAGGACAGCCAAAAACGATATGGCTCAGTAACATCAAAACATGGCTACAATTAACAACAGCACAAACTCTACACGCCGTGCTAGACCGGGACCAATATCATCGTGAAGTCGCACACGACGTTAGGCAGCACTAAAAAAAAAAAGTATTGTGTGAGGAGCTCACAAATCCTTTAAAAATGTGGACTAAGTCCCATCGGTGAGCTCCTCCGCCAGGTAAGGCTGCGTTGGCTGAGTCATGTAGCCCGCATGGCCAGACACCGCTTGCCTAAACATCTTTTGTTCGGCCAGATCGAGGGGGCTAATCTGCCCGGCACGGGCTAGAGAAGACATGGAGTGATGTGGTACAGGAGGACGTGGAGCTGAGTCAACTTGCCGATGACTGGTACCAGCCATGTCAAGATCGGCCTCTGTGGAGGAGTCTCCTGAAGGACGCTACTGGGCAGTTGGAGGCAGTCGCCCTCCAACAACAACGGAGGGCGGAGGAGCGACACTCACAACAATGAGCGGAGTGCCGGGTGGCTAAAGCACAGCAAGTTGCCGCAGTAGGGGGCACAGATGGTGCATCAGCCAGTCGTCTCAGTCAGTTGACCTGTGCCATCTGGGTCTGCCCCGTGACTTCCTCCCAGCGGGCGTTCGACACTTTACGTGGCCTCAAGGTGCACATAGCCTGGCACAAGCGTTGTGGTGACGTCACCGCCACTTACTGGCGAATGGCGGTTGTTGTTCAGTCTATGTATGAATGTGCGAGTCCATTTGTGCATGTAACTCTATGTGTGTGTATCAATGGATTTGCGTGTGTAACTACATGTCTGCCTTTTTCGCCCAGGCAACGCCGGGTACTCACCGCTAGAAGTTTCAATAAAAAAATGGCTTCCCGATGGGCCGCGTTACCTGCAGGAACAAATCGTCCATGTTGATCCAGCGGCCGTAGAAGAGCCAAAGCTGCGGCAGCACACCTCATGCTGCAGCGACGCGTAGCGAAGAAACAGCCAGGTGGGGTTGGGCCAGCACACCTCGTGCAGGTAGCGGAAGCAGCCCTGCATGGCGTCGTCCCCGACGTCGCTCCCGCTCTCCCCAGATTCTGAATGCTGCCTCCTGCCCTCCTGCTGGCACAGGGTGCGCGAGCGTCAGGACCCGCGGTTTAGCTTGCGGGAACTCCCGCACTACAACACGGGCTTACGCGCGCCGAGGCTCGTAACAACGTGAGCGTTCACAGAAACATTTTTCCGTAGTTTTCAAACGCTATAGTCAATCCACTTCAGGATGAAGGGTTCACCCAAGCTATTGCAAATCACTCACGATCGTGAATGTCTAATAATCCTGTGAGTGACGAGTGTGAATAAGTGACTGAGCGACTGTGAAAGTGAGCGTGAGCGACCAGGACCATACCGAGTCGTGTCGGGCACAAACACGGCGGGATGGTACCGGAACAAGTCCTGCAGCTGCTGGTTGGAGCACTCTGCCTGCAGGTACTCGTACACGGTGTGGATGTGCTCTGACGCAGTGCAGAAGGGCACTCCTCTCTCTATGGAGACCCCTTCCTCAACCGCACCCCCGCTGCACCAGGAGACGGGGACGCAAAAGAAGCACTCAATACACATACATCTTCTTGGTTCTTTCGGTAAAGTCACGTAAAATGGAAGTAATAAAATAATAAAAATAAAACATAATAAAATAATTATCACGACGTTTCGGCCACAACGCAAGCAGCCGTCCTCAGGTGAAGAATGAAACACCACCAAGCTTGGAGCATATATTTAAGCTGGAAGAAGAGCGCCTAGACAAAATAATTTGCATATCAAGAGGAATTTAGCATATGGAAATGCGTAGGAGGTGGGCGGGGGGGTTTCAAATTAATATTATGCCCGTGCATTATGCAGGATTAGCAGCATCAAAGGGAGAAGGAAGGGGGGTAGCATTAACAAAGGAAAGGAATGTTAATCGTATGTAGCTGCAGTTGCTAAACAACCACGCAAAAAACTAAAGTATAAACTACATAGCATCATCAGTATACTTACTATACTCTACAATAAGCTGAGTTACTAACAGTAAGTAATACATTACAGTTCTACGTCGTAAAAATTATATAATATGCTTCCATCTAAACTTTGTTCTCTTACATCACACGAGTCTACACCGTACTATATACTGCCATAGATAAACCCAACATTAAATTATATACTGTATTGCTATAAACTATATACCAGACATACAGTACCCTGGCGTCTACAAACTAAGTTGCCTCTGTGGTAGCAGTTACATTGGAGAAACCAAACGACATGTCTCGGACCGCATCCGTGAACATAAAGCAGACCTGAAACACGGTAGGACAAACACCTCAGCCGTGGCAGACCACAGTTACAATTCAGTGGGCTCACATGACATTGACGTCTCCAAGACAGAGGTTCTCTGCAAGCCATCTGGCTATCATGAGAGATTCGTTCATGAGGCGATCCACATATACAAACACAGAGACAATTTCAACCGAGAAGATGGATTCTGGCTTAGCAATCATTGGAAGGACGTAATAAACCATTTCGGATCTTAACTGATTGTGTTCACGTTTACGGTGACTTTCAGACCGCGTTCCACTCACTGGCATTGTATTCTCCGCAGGGATTGGATTCTTTGCTCCGCTGCAAGTTTCCCCCCACGACTCACCCATTGACACGATGGTCAATGGTACAGTGTATAATAACAAATAGTATAACATTTATATGCTTAATACAATATACAAAGTAATATATAGTATCGTAATTGTAAACATATAGCAGTGTGATACACACTTACTGTTAGTAACTCAGCTTATTGTAGAGTATAGTAAGTATACTGATGATGCTATGTAGTTTATACTTTAGTTTTTTACGTGGTTGTTTAGCAACTGCAGCTACATACTATTAACATTCCTTTCCTTTGTTAATGCTACCCCCCTTCCCCCTCCCTTTGATGCTGCTAATCCTGCATAATGCACGGGCATAATATTAATTTGAAACCCCCCCCGCCCACCTCCTACGCATTTCCATATGCTAAATTCCTCTTGATATGCAAATTATTTTGTCTAGGCGCTCTTCTTCCAGCTTAAATATACGCTCCAAGCTTGGTGGTGTTTCATTCTTCACGTGAGGACGGCTGCTTGCGTTGTGGCCGAAACGTCATGAGAATTATTTTATTATGTTTTATTTTTATTATTTTATTACTTCCCTTCTATGTGACTTTACCGAAAGAACCAAGAAGATGAATCCCTGCAGTCACGAAAGCTTTAAATCGACACATACATCTATGAATATTGTCTGTATTGTGAGTAAATATTTTAAAATCCGAGCGAGTATTTAGACCTTTTTCAAAAGTGACCTTTCAGAGAGTCAGGCTGCACATTTTTCAAATGTTCCTGCATGAGAGAGGACACGGCCATCTCTGACCCTTAACACTGAGAGCATTCCTCGCTCCTCCCAGATTTCCTCCTCTTTATCCCTCCTCCCCTTCCCTGTCTCCATCTCCTCGCATCTCCTCTTACATCCGTACCTTTCATTTCCTGCCATCCCATCTCCACTCCTCTCCTTACGCCCCTCTCTCCTCTTCCCGTCTGCCTCTCCCACCCATGCTCTGCACACATCTCTCCCCCCCCGTGCCCTCACGCTCACTGAGGTCGCCGGCCAGCATGCTGTTTGCCGACATCTCCAGGGCGAGGTACGCGGCGTGGCACCCGAGCAGACGCCGTAGGTTGCTGACGCGCAGGTAGAGGTCGCAGGCCCGGCCGAACGACGGCAACGTGGAGCAGGGCGGCCAAACTGCCTCGGTCGGCAGCCACGGCAGCATCGTCAGGTATATGAGGAAGGATGAGTCCACCTCCTTGAGCAGCCACCCGAGCGAGTCGAGCACGTGCTCCATCTTGTACTGCGAGTAGCACGAGCTGTCGCGCGTGCACGCAAGGGTCCTGCCAGACTGCGGGCAGAAGATTCGGCGCGTGAAGCCGATCCTCCCGCGTCAATCTCTTTTTTTCATCAAAGGGCCGATGCGCGCTACGGACGAGTTGCTGCAGTTACAAAAGCCTGCGCTTGCACATCCTGCTAGGGACGCGTGGCATTGAAACGTGTTCAGTAACCACTCATCATTGACGTGTCATCACTACCAACACCAACCACCCTCCACTATCACAACTGCCACCAGAATCACTAAAATTATCTTCTCGCCAGAGTCGCTTGCCTGGCCACCCATCCAGCGAGCTCTTTAAATCTTTTCAAGGAGCTGCACTGCTTACCAGTGCATAAGAAAGTCCAGTTCAAGGCCGAGGTACTCACTTTCATAGCAAAGGTTAACCAAGTACAATGCCATCCACCCGAATGTACCGAAACCAACGCTCATCTGCTATGAACCTGCTGCTGCTGTGTGTCCACTCGAGATCCACCGAGATTCGGACAGAAGCCCTGGTGGTTTGGAACAGTCTGCCAACTGAAGACCGCTCAACGATGACACTCGGTCTTTTAAAGACTCGACTAAAAACATGCATTTCTCTTGTTTAGCTGAATATATTTAAACCTTCTCAGTGCCTTCTGCCCTTCAACTTCAGCTATTTTCTGAATATGGTGCATTATAAATACAGTATTGGATGGATTTATTTGACCATGATCATCGACACCATCATCACCACTGCCACATGGCCCTGCTTACGCATCGCACCGTGTTACTACCACCACTACCATCAAAGACAAAGATCCGCTGTATAGTCTTAACACACTTGGGGCAAGTAGTGTGAGCGAACACCTATGAAGGCCGGTATGGTACACAAGGGGGTAGGTCGCCAGCACCACGCCCAACCGCCTTTGTCTCCCCAGTGACAATGATTTTACAAAGCGCACCAGGTACCCTTGGGAAGACCCAGGACCGGTTCAGATAATCGTCCATGGTGTTGGACGTGAGCGGAAATCGAACTCGGGTCGCCGGGTTCGTAGGGCAGTGCGCTAAGCGCTATGCTACCGCCACTGCCGTCGCCACCGCAGTCACCACCGCCGCCGCCGCATGGCTCCGCTCATCCCTTGTCCCACTCGCCATCGAGCAGGCAGAGCAGCAGCCGGCGGCGCTTCGAGTTGGGAGGCGGTGAGCAGCGCGTGCAGCTCAGCGCACACCCAGTCCTCCAGATGGGAGCCGCGGGGGTCAGTTGGGGCAGAGATTGGCGCCGGCTTTCGGAACTCTCGCACCCAGCGGTGGAGGGGCTACGGTAGGTGATGATGACGGCGCGGCCGCCCCAGCCGAGGTGCCGGCGTTGCAGCGATGGCGGTGGGCTGCTGCTACTGTGGCGGCGGCGTGGCCATGGTGCGCGCGTGGCCCGCGCTGTCGGGCTGTGCTGCAGCGACAGCTTGTTGTCTGTGTCCAGCACAAATATCGTGTCACTGCTGACCATCTGTGGGGAGGCAAGGCAGACGGTGGGGGGGAGGTAGAGAATTGTAGCAGTGGTCACATGGTACTGCATGCAAGACGTGGTGGCAGTCGAGCCTTCCTGCTGTTTCTGAGCACACCTCTGTGTGTGCATGCATCTTTAACTTATTTCGCGCCATACGTAGCCGACCGTGCTAATCGGAGGTGCGGATGAGTGTGGATTGTTAAATCCAAGGAGGGAGAATGGTTGTGGACGTCTATGAAAAAGATCTGCATAGCTCATCGGATTTCTCTAGGATAAATAAAAATCCTGGTTCTGGAAATGCCGAGCGGGTTATAGCTGACGATTTTCCCCACGTGTTGGGAGAGACCTCGGGAGCTGCTGTGTTAATACGGATACACCTTTATGCCAGATAAATATTGTTTATGACCTTGTGAGTCGTGTAATATTCCTTTAAGGTCCCTGTACTCTTTCTCTGCAATAATTACGTTTTTGTCTTTGTTTTCTTGTTGCTGCTGTGCACACAAACCACGGATTTCCCTTGTAAAATAGCCGGAAAATGGCTAACAAATAAAATTAACATAACCGTATATGTATGCATTCCCATCCAATAGCCACTTAATACAACCACCTTTATAGCCTTAAGATTCCCAATATGATTATATTCATATATATTCCTATGGGAACTGTTTGCCTAAAAAAAAATTCGGTTTGAACCTTTCTGGTATTTTTTCCACAAGTGCTCAGTGTGGTCAATGCAGACATGATGCCTTGCAAAAGGCATCTATTTGGTGTTTTATTGCCAGGAAGGGGTAAAAATCTATTGTTATTTTTTTCATCAAATTATATATTCAAAAGCATTGCTCTGGATTAAGGACCCAGTTGTTATTATTTTTGTGCCAGACAAACTCACTAACCTGGAGTGGCTGACGCTGCATGGGGCTCACAGGCAGAGTGGAGGCCTACACGGCGCCCACCAGGCTGCCCGCTGCGTCTCCCGGCATCGCCGTCAGGAAGAACGATTCTCCCTTGATCAGCTGAAGGTGCAAAAAGAAAACATTTAGAAATGTATTTGGGCTAGGCCACGTAATGATCTGACATAACCAAACAAAAAAAACTTTAAATCGAAAAAGCTTTAAATCGAAAATCAAACAAAATAAGTCGTCGCCCATACAAACATTTACCGCTTCAATCTCTACGACCGTATTCGGTCATTGTTTTTTTGCATTATGACTGCAGGTATTGTGGTCTATGCAAACATGACTCCTTGTAAAAAAAGGTGTCAGTTTTGTTGCCAGATAAAAGGGTAAAAAAACTAATATAATATTTTTTACTGGCAAATGAGGTTCCAATGGCCTATTCGGTCACTGCGGTTAAGTTTAAGAACAATTCCCACAGCCAAACTTTGCAATTAGATACACGAAATTTCTCTTCAAAGTGCGTCAAAACATCTTCAAAGCGGAAACTGGCACGTTAAGAATATAACCGTGTCACCCGACTTGGCTTCTTGAATAGGTGTGCTGCGTATAAATTGGCACAATAGGTGGCAAAAAATAATTTGGTCATATTTTGGGAGCAAATCCTGATTTTAAAAAATTCACAGCAACTGCTGAGCCCAATAAAGGACAAGAAACTGAATACAATGAATATTTTGGTTAGTTTGAATGTTGTAATACTGCTCACCAAGTCGCCAATCGATGATACAATTGTAATAAAGGACTCTTGCACTGGGTCTGTCTCCGTTGTCCTTTATTGTGGTTTGTACAACTTTGCCCGCACGGCGTCTCGCTCAGAGTCTCCTCCGCCTTCCCGCTCAGCAGCCCCACTGCTGCCGTCGCTCCCGCAGCCCTGCTGCTAGCTCACAATGCAGCCCCGCTGCTGGCTTCCCACTCAGCCTCTCTGCCTCCGACCTGCAGCCCCACGGCTGCTCTCTATGCAGCCCCGCTGCTGTTCTCCATCTCCCCCATGCCCGGACACTGCTGGCCAACGGTGCCGAGTCCGACCTGTGGCGATCACGCCACTTTCCACCTCCTGCCCTGCGTGGCCTCCTCCTGTCTTTATTCCCACACTCTCCCCCAGCCCTTCCGGTTCCTGCCCTTAAAAGCACTCCCTCTCCCCCACGTGACCCAACTCCTCCCACCTGTTACGTCATATCCGCGAGGCCGTTTACGCTCGCATTACACCACCCTCCCCCGTAGGGAAAATTCCAGCCGTCCTCGGCTGAAACAAAACAAGCAATGCGAGCGACCCCCAACCATCAGCCATGAACGGACAACGGAGAATACAACGAATATAACAATAACAACAAGAACGAGAACAACAATCAACGAAAAGAAAGGGACTTCGAACGCGTGTGGGTCGCCGGCCCGTCCCGGATGAGCGGCGGCCCTCCTGCAGACTGAGAACGCGACGGGGTTTTAGGAGCGACAGGATCAAAACCGCCTGTCGCTATTGGAGGCCCGCCAACGCCAAGGTCCCGTTCCCCCGAAGGACCAGAGTCTGGGGTGTCCCGCAATCGTGTCTGTGGTGGGGTTGGAGGACCGGCGGGGCCAGGTGTCCCCGCAGCTGTGGTAGGCCCACCCCGAGCAGAGTCCGCTGCCTCCTGCAGTGTCACGGCCGGTTTGTCTGTAGAAGGCACAACAGGCGCTCTTGCAGGGTCAACAGGCACAGGCAAGGGTGCGTCGGCAGCAACAGACACTGGCAAGGCAACATCAGGAGATGACGCATCCGTTCGAGGGGCCACGTATGGTTTCAAGCGAGACGTATGGGCGTACCAGCGCCGAGCTCCGAACCGAATGCGCGCGGACTGCGGGTTAGGAACCTCAATGAGCCTAACAGGCCCCTGCCATGGTTTATGCAGTTTAGGGGAGGTTCCTGCTCGCACCTGCGGGCAATGCAGCCAAGCCATATCCCCCACCTTCCAGGGGCACTTCCCCTTCGAGCGTCGAGCGCAACGTTCGTTTCGGGCCTGGGTTTTGGCAGTAGATACTCGGGCCCCCTCCCGCGCCTCAGCGATGCGGTCGAACAGCATCCTGAATGTAGTTGGGAAGAGGCTTAGTAGGTCCTCTCACTCCTGTTCCCAACTGCACATCCATTGGCGGCACGTTTTCGCGACCGTACATGAGAAAAAACGGACGCGTGAGGCGTCATCCGGTATGCCGAGAGTACCCCAGGGATGTGCAAATCCCAGTCAGCTTGCTTCTCATTAACCGTGTGACACAGCATGGCTGACAGCGTCCGATTTAGTCTTTCCACCATGCCATCCGTCTGCGGGTGGTAGGGGGATGTCCGGATCTTTTTGGTCCCCAGAGCAGCGCACACCTCCTCCAACAATTTAGAAGAAAAAGTTCCGGCCCTGATCAGTGAGCAGCCTCTCCGGCGCCCCTTTGTCCATGACATATCCAAATAGAAAGGTGTCCGTAATGGACGCCGCCGACTGGTCGGGCAAGGGCCAGGCCATCGGCCAGCGGGAGAGATACTCCACCCCAACTAGCAAGTATTTATTACCCTTAGCGGATGGCGGGAAGGGTCCCAAAATATCCAACGCCACCAACTCGTTAACTCAAGACACTTGAATAGACTGTATCGGCGGCACATATGGGTGTTTAGGCGGCTTCCGCTGGGCACACTCAGGACACGCACGAACGTGCCCGACGACATCCGTCGTCATGCCATGCCAGAAGTAGTCTCGCTGCAACGTCAACAAGGTTTTCTGCACCCCCAGGTGTAATAGCGTGTCGCAATACAGAGTCCTAATCAATTCGTACCGTAACGACGACGGTACAACCAGACGCCAGTGATCATGTAACCCCTCCCTCCACATCAGCAGTCCGTCGCGGAGAGCAGCCCCTGGCGTCCCCCCGGAAACCGCCCCCCCCCTCCCTTTGCAGCCCGACTCCGCAGGGTCCCCAACGAGTCGTCCAGCATTTGTTCACGGATCCACACTGCTCGTGGAAGGTTCAGAACCCCATCGGCCGGTCTCGGGCACACTGGAGCCTCAGGCACCTCGACCGCTAACGCCATAGGCCAAGGGGGCTGCTGGGTCGGTGTACACCTATGCGTCCCCGACGCGCAAGCGCAAGGGGATCCCTGCGGTAACCTGGAGAGCGCGTCCGCATTCGCGTGACGCGCCCCCTTCCAATGTTGAATTTGGAAGGAAAACTCTTTTAGAGTGTCCAACCATCGTGCCAGCTAGCCAGATGGTTGGTCTACCCTCAGAGAATATTGTAAAGCCGCATGATCCGTGCGCACAATGAACGAACGGCCGTAGAGATACGGCCGAAATTGGCGGAGAAAATAGACAATGGCTAAAAGTTCACGGCGAGTGACGCAGTAGCGGGTTTCCGCGGGGGACAAGACGCGGCTACCATATGCCACCACGCGTTCCACACCGCCTTTGGACTGTGACAGCACGGCCCCAATGCCCGTGTCACTCGCGTCCGTGTCCAGAATGAAAGGGTGATCAAAATCAGGATAGTCCAATGTCGGCGCCGTTGCCAAACGATCGCGCAGGCCCTTAAACGCCGCCTCCTCTGGCGGTCCCCAACTGAATTTCCGTCCTTTACCTGTAAGGAGGTGCAGAGGCCTCGCGATCGTTGCAAAATTGGGAACGAACCTACGATAATATGAGGCAAACCCCAAAAAGCGACGCACATCCCCCACCGTGGCCGCGGTTGGCCAGTTTCGGACGCACGCCGTCTTCTCCGCATCCGTGGCCACCCCGTCGGCACTGACTATGTCCCAAATAGCGCACGGACCATTACAGTAGGTGACATTTCTTAGGTTTAAATTTCAGATTGGCGGAGGGCATTCTGGCGAACACCGCCTCCAGTCTCTGTAGATGTTCATCAAATGTGCGGCTAAAGACGATGATATCGTCTAAATATATCAGACATGTCTCCCACTGCAACCCTGTTAATACCAACTCCATCAACCTCTGTAATGTGGTGGGGGCAGCATTCAACCCCATCGGAAGACAATTAAATTGAAATAGACCCTGCGGCGTACGGAAAGCGGTCTTTCCCGCGAGAACTCATCGAGGGGAAGCTGCCAGAATCCCGAAGAGAGATCCAGCGTCGAAAAGAACTTCGCCCCCGACAAGGCATCGAGGGAATCATCCATACGCGGTAGGGGGTACGCATCCGCCACGGACACTTTGTTTAATTTACGGAAATCGACGCAAAATCGCAATCTGCCGTCTTTCTTTTTGACCAAGACTACAGGCGCGCCCCATGGGCTGTTAGACGGAGATATTATGTCCGCAGCCAGCATGTCATCTACTGCTCCACGAACATGGTCTCGCTCCGCCGGGCTCATCCGATGCGAGTTCAACCGAATCGGAGCAGCGTCCCCCATGTCAATATGATGGGAAAGCAGGGAGGTGTGTCCCAAGTCCAAATCGTCGGAGCTAAACACATCAGAATAACAATAGCGCGCAAAGCGCGGATCGCTGTTCCCCGGTCAGGGAAGAATTTTCACCGCACAATTCGACGATCCAGCGATCATCTAGGGCCGCAGGGCCCGAAACTCCGGCAACCACATCCCGGCGGCCCAGATGGTCCTGGGCCGTGAACGCCGTTGTGGCATGTGCCACGACCGTTCCGGCCGGCACGCATACATTCTCCGTACTCCCATTAAGCACCTGCAAAAATGGCTGCTGGCCCGGCCGGATAATAGTTTGCGCCCCGACCAGCGCCGATCCGCCCATAATGGTCGCGGACGGCGATAACAAAACCCCAGGCGCTCCTTCTCGACCAGGCACCGGTTTCCGATATCGCAAGGGGATAAGCATCTGTGAACCAGGTGGAATGTCAACAGATACCTCGGACAGTGCCTGTACCTGGCAGACCGGAGCGGGTCGCCCCTAGGGCGACGGCAAAAATGTAATTTGTCGACCCCCCGGTAATTCGATGCAATTTTGATTAACTCTTATTAGAATGGGCATTTTGGCCAGAAAATCAGTTCCCAACAAACACGGAATCGCAAGGGACCTCGAAATCAACACGGTTCCCGAGGCCGACACCCCCCCGATGGATATATTGGCGTCCACCTGGCCCACAATGCCCATACTTCCCCCGTTCGCTGCTACACAGGAATCGTAAACTGGGCGCACTGCGTCCGGCGGGATGCCCAACAGATGGAAAATGACATCTGATATAATCGTCGCGGACGCACCGGAGTCCACTAAAATGCGCACGTCGACCCCTTGTATAGAACCCGGCACAGTGGACGAACCAGTAGCGGCCGCAACAACCCGCCGCGCCAATTTACGCCACTGCGTTACCGAGCGACATGGGCCAGTCGGCGTCCCCCCGTTGTTAACGACACCCGGATCGTGCGACAACGGTGATGAATGAGGTGCCAAGCCTTGCCGGGTGTCTGGTGCGCACCGACTTGCCTGTCCAGGAGGGTCCTTCCGCGGCACGTCCGTGGTTGAGGCCTCCTGCTGGGCCGGCCCCAGTATACGGGCCCAGCAATCCCTGGCATAGTGGCCTTTGCGACCGCAGCGGAAACACTCGACGTCATTATGACGCACAGCACTCCCCCCATCTCGACGCTCCCGCGTCGGCGCCGCAGATCGCGGCCCCGGCCCTCCGCGGGCAGGCCACTGCGCAGAGGCAGCCGTCAATTCCTGCGGGCCCTCCCCGTCAGGAACATACACCGCCTTCTTGGGATCCCAGCCCATGGCACCCCCTGCCACGATGGGCACCCCCGTCCACGCTGTCACCTGCTTCCAACAGCGCAGATTAAACTGGGCATCCAAACACTTCGCAGCTGCCCGAGACGTCAACTTCTCATGGCCGCACACCGGCAAAGGGATCCCCAAATCCCTCGACAGCTCAAGCATTTTGCCCAAAATAAGGGGTTCCAGTAGGTCAGGCTCCGTCTCAGGGTATGCGGCCATGGCCAATTCCAGGACAGCACCCCTGTATGCCACCGGCGACTCTTCGGGCGCCCACTGTCTTCTTTTTCTCGGCCTTGATGGAACGGAAAAATCTGACCGACTCATCGTCAAGAAAAGTTGGCAGAACTTCCAGGGCCTCTGCGTCAGTCCATCTGGCGGAGCGCACCGCCGCCAAAAATCAGCAGGCGAATGCACTCCAGTCACCTCCGATTGAAAATTCTTTAACTGTTGTCAAGTGATGGCTGCGGGTCCTCGCTCCGCTGTCCTCCGCAGACGGCGCGTCGCGTGGCATGTTCAAGATGGCGTCGCACCGCAACGTGTCAAAGATGGCGGCTTCCCGCCGTGAAGGGCGCAAGATTGCGGCTTCTCACGGTTCTTCCCCTGCCACGCCCAAGATGGCGTCCTCGTGCCGCGTGGCAGAGGGCGTTGGTGGCGCAGGCAAGGCCCTGGTCCGTTGGTCACCCCCGGGCCTCCCCGAAGCCGTCGCCGGCGTGACGAAATCGCACAGTTGCGCCAAGACGGTCTTCAAAGTCTCCAGCTGGGCCGCCATCTGTCTCCATCGCTGGTCAGCATCGCCCGGCGCGGGCGGATCCGCCGAAGCGGCGACCTCTTGCACCCCCGGGCCACCACTCGTCCCCGCGTCGATTTCCCCCTCCATCGTTGGCAGCCCCACTGCCTGAGGAAGGTCGTCGTCGTCGGAAGATGTAGCAGACGATGGTGCGGGAATATTCTTTCTTCTGAGCTGTTTTGACATGCCGTTTCACTTCTGACACCAGTGTAATAAAGGACTCTTGCACTGGGTCTGTCTCCGTTGTCCTTTCTTGTGGTTCGTACAACTTTGCCCGCACGGCGTCTCGCTCAGAGTCTCCTCCGCCTTCCCGCTCGGCAGCCCCACTGCTGCCGTCGCTCCCGCAGCCCTGCTGATGGCACACAATGCAGCCCCGCTGCTGGCTTCCCATTCAGCCTCTCTGCCTCCGACCTGCAGCCCCACGGCTGCTCTCTATGCAGCCCCGCTGCTGTTCTCCATCTCCCCCATGCCCGGACACCACTGGCCAACGGTGCCGAGTCCGACCTGTGGCGATCACGCCACTTTCCACCTCCTGCCTTGCGTGGCCTCCTCCTGTCTTTATTCCCACACTCTCCCCCAGCCCTTCTGGTTCCTGCCCTTAAAAGAACTCCCTCTCCCCCACGTGACCCAACTCCTCCCACCTGTTACGTCATATCCGCGAGGCCGTTTACGCTCGCATTACACAATGAAACACCTCAATGAATCGGAAATAAAAAGGCTGAACTAAGGATACCCATCAATGGTGACTACAGGCACTATGAGTGCCACATAGACTGCCCACTAGATCCTGTTGGCTATACGACCTCTGATCCTTGCACACTATCAGAAGGTTGCACACACCCAGCCTTCGCAGGAAGTCTCTCCAGCTGTTCACATCTGACTGTCCCTGCATGTACACGGGGTGCGCCAGCAGCCAGTCGGCACCTGCATGAACCCACACGTCATGCACACACACACACGCACGTCTTACACACACGTATAAATATTCACCCAAATTCTCTCATGGACAAAATGGCAAGGAGACATGGAGTTGCTTCCTTATTCCTCTTCTATTGCTCCTAGCATGGTTTTAATAATCCATGAATTTCACTCTTCGATTCCTCCCCGAGTTTCATCTCATCTATACCGGGTTAAACCATCACACCTCAAGTCAACCACTCACTCGTCCATTTGTTCGCCTTCTCACTCACACACCCGCCCACACTCACTTTTCCCTCCTTTCATCACCATTTCAGTTACTCCAGTTCTTATAATAACCTTGGTCAATTCAAGAGGCGTATTATCTCTTATCTATTACAAATTCAATAGTGCTGTTTGTTGCTGCCTGCTTGGTGTTCTGGGCATGGGCTAAACAACCAGGATTTAAAAAAAGTATGCAGCTGTATACAAATTTGTGAGGACACACAACAACTGCCATTCTCCACTAAGTGGCGGTGACGTCACCACAGCGCTTGTAGCATGCTAGGTGCATTTTGAGGCCATGTGAAGTGTCAAAGGCCCGTTGGTAGGAGCTCACAGAACAGACCCATGTGCCATGGGTTGACTGAGGTGACCGGCAGATGCATCAACTGTGCTGTGCTCCCTTTCTGCGTTTTATCCACCCGGTTCCCGGCGACTGCCTCAAACTCTTCAGCAGTGTCCTTCACAAACCTCCTCCACAGAGGCCAATCTTGATGCTGCTGATACTAGTGATCGGCAAATCCAATGAGCTCCACATCCTTCTGTACCACCCCAGTCCATCTCTTTTCTAGTCCTCGCCATGCCCATTTATCCCCATAGATCCAGCTGAACAGAAGCTGCTTGGGCATGCGGTAGATGGGCATGCAGACTACATGACCCAGCCAATGCAGCCTCGCTTGTCAGAAGAGCTCAGTGATGGGACTGTGTCCCAATCTTTCAAGGATCTCCGAGATCCTTACACAATCCAGTCTGGTTAAACCCAGGATGGATTGTAGGCAGACTAGCCTGCATGTGTCAAACCGGCACACATGTTCCTTCAGAGTGCTCCACATTTCGCAAGCATTGAGAAGGGAGGGCATAACTGTGACCGAGAACACCTGGAGCTTGTATAGAGTAACAGACCAGGTAGCGTCTACACAGCATTATGCAGCTAATAAAAAGATGCTGCTCGACTGATTCGGACTAACACCCAGGTTGCCAAACTGGAGCTGGCCATGAGCACACTGCTCAAGTTCTGAAACAACATTGGGACTCTGCAAGCTTCTCCTCGGCATGTCTGGCAAGGCAACGTTGAATTATTCTTGCCAGGACCTTTCCCAGAATACTGAAGAGGGAGATGCCCCTGTAGTTGTTGCAATCAGTGTGGTGCCCCTTTTAAAAAATTGGGATCACCAGGGCATCCTTCAAATCCTCTGGAACCCGTCCTGTGGACCAGACAGTTGTAATGTCAAATAGGGCAGTCTGCAGTTGACTTGAGCAGTCACGTCTCCTCGGCACTTTACCTGGTTTCAAGCTCTGAATTGCCCTTCGCATTTCCTCAAAAGATGGTACATCAGCCAATCACTCACAAGGAGCGGCTACTTTCTCCCAGCAGGGTCAAACTGACCTTGCCCTATGATGTTGTTGAGTTGAGGGGTTTCCCCTCCCCCAAGACCTTACAGAGAACCTGTTCTTGGGAGTCGGAGATCGGATGGCCGTTCTTTGCCTCACTGATGGTGATAGGTGTGGTGCTGAAAGTTACTTTTTTCATGGTGTTAAAAAGGGATTTATTATCGCATGCTACCAAGGCAGTTTCCATTTCTTCAGCAACTCGCGACCACCACTCATCCTTTCAGTGCCGCACGGCTCTCCGAACCTCCGAGTGAAGGCTGCAGTAAGCCTCATTCTTGGACATGGGATGTTGTAGATGGTGGGAGTCAGCCTATTGCTTACTTACGACAAGTCTGGACACCTCAATTAGCCACGGTGTCTGGGGAGGTCATTGGTGGGTTTTCTCTGGGTGCTCCGGTATCCTACCACATGCTAGCAATCATTCCTTTGCTGAAATATCTTAATATATGGGAAATTGCAGAGGGGCAATCGTTGGCATCAGCTCACCGCTTGCCTGTGGTTCCTCGTGCCTCTGAGTCATTCATTCCCACAGAGAGCGAGCGTAAACTGAGCCACATTATACATTCACCCAATTCCCCTCGGCGGAGCACCCCTTTGCTATATTGCAATAAACACCTGACAGGTTGGTGGGCAGGTCCCACTTGTTCCCATAGAATCTGGAGAAGTCCACGCTGGTGTCCACCGGCCGCACGAAGGCGCTCGAAGTGAGCACTGGCAGCGTCGCGCGCAGCTCGGCCAGGTCACAGACGGACGCGTCACGCTCGCACTGCGCTTTCAGGTACGCCAGGTAGCTGATCACCACTTCATTTGGCCTGTCCTGTAGAGAGGTGGGGGGGGGGGGGGGTCAAACATAGACAAAGATCCCCCCGTATATCCTCAACAGACTGTTTGGGAAAGTGCTGTTAGTGAGTAGCAATGAAGGCCGACATGGCGCATGATGGGGTGCATGGCCGGCACCATGCCCGGCTGCTTTTGCCTCCCCTCAAGTGCTGATATTTACACACGGCATCAGGTACTCATTTAAGGATGAGCTGACCAAGGGGAGGCCCAGGATTGGTTCAGATTATTGTCCCTGGTGTTGGCCATTAGTGGGAGTTGAATTTATGTTGCTGGGTTTGTAGTGCAGTACACGAACCACTGCACTGCCGCTCCCCGCTCACACAGACAATTGTCAGTGTCATTAGTAATGAATAATTGTGATAACCATGCAATTAGAATTCGGCTAACAATGCGACTAATAACCTTAATTATAACTGAACACCCAGGTACATGTACCTGTACGCATGCACAGCTTATTTAGTCAATCCGCTGCTGAAAGAAGGCCTCCCCTATTGACCTCGGTCACAGCTAACATCAGTGGCGAGTGATAGCTCATCCAGTCATTGGTCCCAGTTTCATAGGCGTGCATCGACCAGCAGGGTGATGTAGTGTGGATTTCACCCCCAGTGAACTGAGAAACGGTAAGGATTTGTATCCATAGGGCGCTTGTGTAAAAGCCTCGGCATCTCAGAGCACATTACATCTCATCTCATCTCTTCCAATCCTACTGCCTAGTAGTCAAGGAGGCGCCAAGTGGCAGACGTCCCCCGGTGCGGCACAAGGTTTACGCAGCACCGGCGTGCAAGTGGGCATTAGCTTTCCAGCAGTGGGTCATGTTGCTGCGTGGTTTACCCCAATTAAGTCATTTGCAGGTAATTTATCGAAAGGAGCACATTTCAAGTTCATTTATTAGGTATAGCCATTCTGCTCTTGAATCGGGTGCAACCGCAACAAACAAAAAACTAAAACATGAACAAGAAAACATCTTAAAGTGAATATGTAACTAAGTGCAAACAGAAAATCCAAGAAAAGACAGAAAAATATTGCAGAAAAAACACCGTACACCAACGCTGTGTGCAAAAATCCCAGTGGGATGCAAGTCAAACAACAACAACCACAAGACAACTTAGATTAAGGCCATCAGTCTTACTCCGTACTACAACAAACAAACGTGGCCAAACCAGTAAACTTTTCGAAATCACCAAAATAAAGCAATGAAACAGTGATCATAGGAACGGTGATGGAATTTTCACAATAAACGACAAACAATATGTATACTAAAACCCTGCAGCCATAGCTGGCTGCATGAGTCACTCCACAACAGCAGGAGCATCAATCGGAGTATTATAATTTTTCAATGCACGAATGGGGTCGGCACCAAATGAACGACGCGTCATTGTTGCCTCTGCGTCGTCGCGCATGTGATACGACCTCACGTTCGGGTAAATTGAACTCTTTTGCTATGCGGCGCGGTCTGCTCATGCATATGGGATGTTGATTCCTGCCAGTACAAAATTGTGGTGCCTTCGGCTTTGCGATGTACGGCCGTATGCGTGGCACACGAGCGATTGTCGCACCTGGGTGTGCACAAAACCATGGGTTTGCTAAGATTGCAATTTTACTGGCCAGGCATGCTTCGCGACGTGACTGATATTTTAATGGGCTGCATCCAATGTGCGCAACGAAAGCTGCCAGCGAAGCCAGCATGCCCACCACTGCAGCCCATCTCGGTATCCCGTGTGAACGAGCTGGTTGCTCTTGACATTTTGGGGCCTTTCCCTACAATGCATCGTGGTAATAAGTACCTTCTGGTTGGGGTTTAGTATTTTACACGGTGGCCTATGGCCTGGGCCCTCCCCAACCAGTCGGCAGCAACCATCGTGGACGCCTTTGTTCAAGGCTATGTGTTGAACAAGGGCGCTCCAGAATGGCTGCTGACCGATCAGGGAAGAAATTTTTCAAGTACCCTGTTGAGCGAGGTATGCAGCCTGTTGGGCACTAAGAAGGTGCACACTTCGCCCTATCACCCCCAAACAGATGGCATGGTGGAGCGGCTGCATAGAACCCTCACCTCTATGCTGTGCCATCAGGTTGATGAATCCCACATAGACTGGGACTTGCAGATCCCAGGGGTTCTCGCTGCTTACCGCATGGCGCCACATGCAGCGACGGGGTTCTCCCCGTTTTTCCTAATGTATTGCAGGGAGGCCATTCCTCCCGCTGACGTTCGGCTTGGGATAGAGCAGCTTCCACGGTCATCGAAGCTCGCTGATCATTTACGCTTCAATCTCCGGAAGCTGTCTTAGGCACGTGATGCGGCAATTGAAAATTCCGCCTCCCGCCAGCGGGCCAATTCGAGGTTGCAAGCCCCTCGCACGTCCATGCATTGGTGGACACCGGGTGATAGGGCATGGCATCATTGCCCCCAGGTGCCGGTGTCCACATCGGCAAAGCTCCTTAAACCATGGCGGGGTCTGGTTGAAGTCGTCGAGATTGTACAACCACAATGTATTAAAATCCGTTGGGGACGGCGTCGCTGGTTTGTGCACCCTTCTCGCTTGAAGCCATTTGTTGCTCCGCGCGGCTCTGCGTCAAACTCACAACACGAGGGCCGAGTGTATGATGTGTCCGACGAGCCGGATGTCGCCCCGTTGGTACCTAATCCACAGCGCAGACGTGTCATTCCTCCCGCAGATGATGTGGGACTGTTGGAGTCGTGCGAGCCGCGTTCTGCCACTGGGAACCAGGGGGCGCCACGAGTCTCTGCAGAAAGGCCTCTGGACCCACCCAACATTTTTGTCAGGCTGCCTGACCCGCCAGAAATTTTTGGCAGTGTGCCTCACTCGCCTGCGCCTAGAGTTTCCGCAGAGAGACCTGTCCCACCCGACATTTTTGCCAGGCTGCCTCATCTGCCTGCACCTAGAGTCTCCACAGAGAGACCTCCTGACCCACCCAACATGTTTGCCAGGCTGCCTGACCCGTCTGCACCAAGAGGCTCCGCAGAGAGGCATCCTGACCCACCCAACATGTTTGCCAGGCTGCCTGACCCGTCTGCACCAAGAGTCTCCGCAGAGAGGCCCCCTGTCCCTAACGACATTTTTGCCAGGCTGCCTGACCAGCCTACTACCCAGATGAGGACACCCATCCCCTACGATGGGCCCGCGAAATATACGCGGTCTAAATCGCGTCGGTTTTCATGATTGACCATCGTTTTTTCTCTGCAGCGGAACGCTGCATGGGTTGTTGCGTCGCGAATGTCGTTATTGGTGATTGTCTCTCACCGTGTACATATGTTGTTATTGGGGGGGGGGGGGTATTTATATTGGGGAACTTGTTGTTCTTCTTGTTCTTGTGGTTCTTGTTGTTTTTTTTGGCACACACATCGGTTCATTGATGGGGGGTTTTTCTCTTTGTAACAGCCGGGACGGCTGAGGCTTCCAAAGGGGGGAGTGATGTAGTGGTGTTAACTACTCGCTGTTCGCAAACTGTGAAGGAGCGGATCGTAAACAAGGTTTTCCCGCTCAATCAAACGGTCAGGATCCAAACGCCAGATTGGGAAGGACCAATCGGAGGGTCCCACAAGGTGGCCGGGGATTGGACAACCCGGCCACGAACAGGTATAAAAGCCAGAGTGCTGAGAGCTCTTGGCCAGTTCTGCTACACGAAGACCCAAGTCGGCCGAAGACATCTAGGACCCTGGACCAAGCCCTCCAGCCCTTATCAGGGCTAGGGCTCAGTGTAACCAGTGGTCGGGGAGAGATCCCCTAGGTCCAGCCCGAGGACGCTGGGATAGCAGGGAGATTAGATAGCCTGCAAGGTCCGGAGGCTGTGTCTCCTCAGGGTAACGGGTGAGGGGACCATATACCCCCTTTGTGTGAGAGGGACTGTGTATTAAGATAATAAACAGTGTGTGCCATAAAGAAGTTTAGAAGTCCGTCCTTTACAACACTACACTTGCATACGCACACACACACAGCCATAAACACACACCGCAACAACAGCCGCCATTCATCACCGGTGGTGACATCACCAGGGTGCTTGTGCCAGGCTAGGTGCACTCCGAGGCCACGTAAAGTGCCAAAGGCTCGCTGACAGGTCACAGGACAGAATACATTTATTTTTTATTTAACCAGGTAAGGCCTACTGGGCTATTTAGCTATTATTCAGAAGCGATCTGGCTACAAATGATAGCTCAGTAAAGTTGCTTATCATGTGCAAATGTATCGCAGCCAAATACTCTAAAAGCATGTTTCTAAATTTAGAGGAAAAAACTTGAGGACCCAGAGAAAAATCCATGTGACCACGGGGAGAAAGGCATGCAAACTCCAAATATACAGGCGTCAGGATCAGGATCGTACCCACAGCCTCCTGTATACCAGGGGAGGTAGTTAAAATCTCGCCACTGTGGTGTTGGGTTGGCTGACTACTGAGGGGGCACCTGTGCATTTGAGCGATTCGACACTCTGCTCATTGTCGTGAGCGTCGCACCTCTGCCCTCTGTTTTTGAAGGGTAACTGCCTCCAACTGCCCAATAGCGTTTTTCATGACATTTGCAAGTCTTGAGCAAGTCTACTGAGCTCCACATCCTTCCCATATTGCAACAGTCCATCTCTTCTCCAGGCCGTACCACGTCTGTTTAGTCCCCTCTATCCAGCGAAACAAAAACTGCCTAGGCATGCGGTGGCTGGGCATGCGGGGTGACATGACACAATCAATGCAGCATTGCCCATCGGAGGAGTTCGCTGATGGGAATGTGTCCAGATCTTTTAAGGATTTATGTTCTCCTCACACAATTCAGCCTGGTTAAACACAAAATGGATCTTTGGTTCTTTCGGTAAAGTCACGTAGGTGTTGCGCCATAACAAGGTGCTGTAAGCAGCTTACCTGCCACCACGCTCACGGGCCGACAGGGGGCAGCCGAGAGAGAGCGAGGTGTGTAGGGGTTGACCGAAGGTCAAACCCCCTCCCCATTGGGGGGCCCGTGACCGGAGGTTGACACCCCAGACCCCCCAGGGGCTGGGGGCTGAGGGGGATGGGCTCCCCCACCCCTTCCTAAGACCCCTTAAGATTTAAGACCCTCTAAGACCTTCCAGAAGGTTCTGGAGGGGGGAGGGTCATGAGGGGAGGGGTAAGCCCAACCTGGGGATAAAAAGCCGACCCTCTGAACGGGTCCAGCAGTGTTCGCAAACTCAAGCTTGAAGACATCTGAAGACCTGAAGACTGGACCAGCACCCGGGAACCCTCAACCGAGGCTCTCGTTAGAGCCGGGTTGTAGCAGACTCGAGGTAGCTCAGACACCCTGGGACCCTCCCCGAAGCTCTGGTCAGAGCCGCGGTGTAGCGGAGCAGGGATGAGCCCCGGGACGGGTCGGTCCAGTCTTCCCTTAGCCGTCGTGGCAAGGGACCGGTGTGTAGAGTAGCCCGGAGTGTGTAGGATGCGCTAGAAGAGAGCATGTACCTCCCTTAGGCTATCGGGTTGAAGGGGCCCACTTCAGCTATTGTTTCTTGCTGTGGTTGTCCCACCTGATGACGGACGCTTGTGTTATGTCCGAAACGTCGTGATTTAATTTATTTTATTTTATACCTACCTGACTTTACCGAAAGAACCAAAGAGTATGGATCCCTAGAGTCACGAAAACTTCAAATCTAGATTGACAAAATGGATCATAGGCAGGCCATCCTGAAAATTTCGAACCGGTGCAGATATTCTTGTAGCAAGCCACCCTCCCTCATCACGCCTCTTGATACTTCTCCACTGTCTATCAATGCTCACAACACGCTCGATTTTTTTCCTTGTTTTTTTTATTCTCGTCGATTGTTTTGCATGGAAGCCCCCGTTTCAGCGAGGCCGGTGCTCTCCTCCATCCCGTAGGCATTCAGACGTGACTCGCCTTCTCTCGTGGAACGTCTGACCTCCACCCCCCTCCCTGCGCTCCTCTCCTACAATGCTCCGTCTCTTCACAAGTTGCCAAGTTCTCCATTCGGTGGCCACACTTCCCCTACAAGGTGACCCTGGCAGCGCGGACCCGGGAAGCTGCGATCGTCCGTGAACGCACCAGCGCTTTCCTTCAGCATCTTCCTCGGGAGGCTTGCTGGGGTCCGGAGCTCCGAGAAGGTGGGAGGGGGGTTCCAGGCGGCGTGGGCCGGGTCTTCACGAACCAGCTACCCTTATGCCGCCCCCTGCTGGCGTGGGGTGGCGACGCCTGTTCATCACCCAAATTCGGAGGCCTCATTCCCCACCGTTCTGGCTTTAGTCACGGAATATGGAGGTGCTTCGGGATACAAATTAAATGTAACTAAATCGGACTTCATGCCCCAAATAAGTTCTCAAGAAATTAGTTTTCAATCTAGATGATTTAAAAGTGTATAGCTCCAGTGGCTTCCTAATATCGGAAGCGCATCTGAAAGCGTGTGATGTGCTGAGGCCAGAGCACAAATAATCATCCCCATGCAACATGGCCACCATGATGCAGTTCCCCATGCAACATGGCTACCATTAAGTCCCCCATACAACTTGGCCACCTGGATATCACCCATGCATCATGGCCGCTATGAAATCTTCAATGCATCATGTCCACTGTGACATCCACCATGCAACATGGCCATCGTGATGTTCCACCATTCACCATGGCCCTCTGTGACATCCCTCATTCCTGTTCTTACCTTGCGGTGATTTGATGCAGATGGAGGCGGTGCCCTCTGAGGACAGCGCCCTCCACGTGGTACAAGATTCGCCCTTATTCCTCACCTCTCCAGATTGGCTCATCTACACACACACAAAGGTCCACCACATAGGCTTTAGCAAGATGTGGGGGATAGTGCAAGCGGCGAGCACTGAGCCAGGATCTCTGAGATCCTGGGCTCCACATTCAGGAGAGTCCTGCTGAGATGTCAGTTCTCAGCGTTCGGATATTTGGCCAATGTCAGATGTCACACTTGGATTAACAATGAGACACGTGTGTATTTAAAGGACACACGCAGGTTATTGGCATCCTTCAAACTGTTAAGAGAAGTAGGGCTGGGCCAGAACATGCCACGGCCACGAGGAACGATGGCTGATGGTCAAGAACAATAACGGAGGTGCAGCTAAGTATCGGAACACGTCTGAGAGGACGGCTGCCAGAAAGATGGAGCGACAAAATCGGTGCTTGGTGGATTATTCCATCGCAGGATCGTGAGGGGTAGCAGGGTCTCAAGGAAAGAGGCCTTCATTCAGTAGTGGATAGATAAAAGTACAGTAGATTATTAAAACGTAGAAAGGCAGGTACACAGAGAGGATCTTGGGGAGATACTCTGATAGATGCACACACAATCAGGCAGATAAGCAGATGCACACTTAGGTTTATGGATAGTTGACAGGTAGCCACACGCGGAGTGGAGAGCACACGTCCATTAATACTTCACCACACGAGTCGAAGAGCCACACGTACCTCCATGGTGGCAACTTGCAGAGCAGGGTGCACAGAACTAACAGCGTCTCTCGCGCAGTCCAGGTCTCTGCGTGCGAAGCAGGAGACGAAGCCGAGGATCACATAGAGTCGAGGGGGTGTGACGGCACCCACATCTCAACACGAGTCAAGTCACAATGCGGACTCACACCATGAACCCACATCATCAACACAGACTCACATCATCACCAATCACTCACAACACGAAACACAAAAACAACAACCGACATTCGCCACTAAGTAGTGATGATGTCACCACGGTGCCTGTGCCAGGCCAGGTGCACTTTCAGGCCACACGAAGTGTCGAAGGCTCGCTGACAAGACGTCACGGGACAGACCCAGGTTCCAAAGGTTGGCTGAGATGATTGGTAGATACACCAGCTGTTTGCCCAACTGTGCCAACTTGCCGAATTTTATCCGCCACTCGTTGTGAGCGTCACTCCTCTGCCCTCAGTTGTTGTTGGAGGCAGACTGCCTCCAACTGTCCAGTAGCCTCCTTCATGAGCTTCCTCGTGAAGGATGAGATTTACACCACTGGTACCAGTCTTTCACAAGTCTACTCAACTCAACAGCCCATGTCGTGGCCGTTTAGCCCCCTTTATGCGGCCAAAAAGAAACTGCTTGGGTATGCGGGCTACAAGACCCAGCCAACGCAGCCTTGCCTACCGGAGGAGCTTACTGGTGGTAATGTGTCCAGATCCTTCAAGGATTTGTGAGCTCCTCACACAATCCAGCTAGGTTAAACCCAAGATGGATCGTTGGAACCACCACCGACACCACCACCAACACCACTAACACCATCAACATCACCACCAACAACACCAGTACCACCACCAACAAAAATATCACCATCATCAACACCGTCACCAGCACCACCAACAACACCAACAGCACCACCGCCAACAACACCAATAGCACCACCATCAACACCACCAACAACACTACCACCAACACCACCACGAACAGCAAAGATAAAGATCCCCTTTATAGGTGAAATAAACGGTTGGGGCAAGTGCTGTTAGACAGCATCACCTATGAAGGCCGGAACAGCACACGAGGGCGTGGGTGGCCAACACCGCGCCTTTGTCTCCGAGTGGCGATATTTACACACCACACCAGGTACTCATTTGAGGCTGAGTCGACCTAGGGAAGGCCCAGGACCGGTTCATATAATCGTCACTGGTGTTGACAGCGCGTTAACCACTCCACACACACACACAGACTCACACACGGATACAAACACACACGGACTCACACAAACACAGACTCACACCACACACACAGACTCACACCACCGCACCACCCACCCACAGCGAGGATCCACTCCTCACCTTCGCCAGAGTTTCTCCCCGCCTCTCTCACGGACAAACTGCCAGGGGGAAGCGTGTGGCTCGAGACGAGGGGGCGGTACCAGGTGACCACGCCCACCGAGACGTGGAGACGTGGAGCCCTGAGCCCCTCACCCGAGCCCCCCCCCTCGCCCCGCCCCCTCTCCCCCCTCGCCCCCCCCCATGCCCGCCCCCTCGCCCCGCCCCCTCTCCCCCGCCCCTCCCCCCGCCGAGGCTGGGGCGAGTGGAGGCAGCGCTGTGCATTGTGGGTGGCGAGCGGCTGTTTTGGATTCCCGCTCGCGGCCACCGTCGCTGCTGAAGCGGCGGCTCGCTGGCTGGTCCTCCTCTACATCGACTCAGCCCGAACAAGGTGAGAACCTTGCACCGTGTGGACACATCAGCAGTGGCGGTGGTGGAGAGGGGAGGCAGAGGAGGCGCCTGGCTCACAGTCGTTACGCTCTGGGCGCCTGCTGAGTTCACGGCGCTGCTCCCAGCAGAGCGCGGCCTGCTGCTGCTGCTGATGATGATGAGGAGAGGCACTGCCATATTGTGGCTGATGGGATGAGTTACATTTAGTTGTTTTGTATCTGGAGGGACGGAGTTGTTGTCGTGGCAGAAATGGCCTCCACTAGAGGCCGCGATGTGGGGTATTTGGTCTACTCTTCCACGCTGGTCCAAACCCGTTGGAGCGAGGTGGGTGTACCCACAACTTTACCCTCCACACGCGGGGGGCGTCAGCTCACTGCACTTGCAATGCAGAGGTGCAGGTTCGAGTCCATTTCACACTCAGTCATTCACCCACTCACCCACCCACAGAGGGATAAAGACCCTTTATGCAGTGGTTGTGTAGTATCTGCATCAATGTTTTTGTTGTTTAGTTATGGTGGTTGTTGTTGTGGTTGCGGTTATAATCTTGGCTTTAGTTTTGGTTGTATAGGTGGTTGTAGTGTTGGTTGTAATTGTGGTTGCTCTGGTTGTGGTGCCTTTGGTGTTTTTGGTTGTGGTTATAATTGTGGTTGAGTAGGTTGTGGTTATATGTGCGGTTGTGGTGTTTGTGGTTATAACTTGATTTGAAGCTTTGGTGACTGCAGGAATTACTCGCTGGTTCTTTCTGTAAAGTCACGTAGAAAGAAAATAAATTAAATAATAGAGTACGACGTTGCGATTGCAACACAAGCAACCGTCATCAGGTAGAATAAAATTTTAGAGAGAGACAAAACACAGACACGGAGACACACAGACAGACACACAAGCAGAGAGATGGTGGTGATGGTGGTGGTGGGGGTGGTGGGGGTGGTGGTGGGGGTGGTGGTGGCGGTAGTGGGGGCGGTGGTGGCGGTGGTGGGGGCGGTGATGGTGATGGTGGGGGTGGTGGTGGTGGTGGTGATGGTGGTGGTAATGATGGTAATGATGGTGATGATGGTGATGGTGGTGGTGATGGTGGTGATGGTGGTGATGGTGCTGCTGCTAATCATGATGATGCTGTTGGCTCCAGGTCCCACCACCGATGGGCGCTGCCGGTGCGTCGTCTCTGGTTGACGCTGCTCAGCAAGGAGCAGCTTCACTCCACGTTCCTGCGCTACTCACTCACTCACCCACTCACTCACCCACTCACCCACTCCCTCACCCACTCACTCACGGACCCACTCACTCACTCAGCCACTCACTCACCCACTCACCCACTCACTCACTCACTCACCAGCTTCACTCCATCTTCCTGCGCTACTCACTCACTCACCCACTCACTCACGGACCCACTCACTCACTCAGCCACTCACTCACCCACTCACTCACTCACCCACTCACTCACTCACCAGCTTCACTCCATGTTCCTGCGCTACTCACTCACTCACCCACTCACTCACTCACCCACTCACCCACTCACTCACCCACTCACTCACTCACTCACCCACTCACTCACTCACTCACTCACTCACTCACTCACTCACCCACTCACTCACCCACTCACCCACTCACTCACCCACTCACTCACTCACTCACCAGCTTCACTCCACGTTCCTGCGCTACGCACTCACTCACTCACCCACTCACTCACTCACCCACTTACTCACTCACCAGCTGCACTTCACGTTCCTGCGCTACTCACTTACTCACTCACCCACCACTCACTCACCCACCCCTCACTCACCAGCTGCACTCCACGTTCCTGCGCTACTCACTCACTCACTCCACCCACTGCACTCGCTCACGACCACACTCTTCACCATCTTAC